GTACTAAAATAAAGTAGCTGGCAGGCACCAAACAAAGCTCCGGTTACAAAAGTGAAAAACATTAACAAGGGTGGAGTCAGTATCATGCGACTTTGCAAACAGATAAAAATCATCAATTATTGAAAATTTCTTGATGTGCTAATTACAAGTTTATTTTTCCACAATGCAAACATGAAAAAGATACTTACAAGTAAACTGTAAAATAAATTAATAACATAAATCTACCTTGTGTGTTATTATGCCAGTCTCCGTCATCATTGATGTCTTGTTCCATTCCACACAATGGTTCTTCATAGTCATGGAAACCACACATAGGGGGACCCATGTTTCCAGGACCTGAATGCCCATCATAACCTACAAATGCCAAACATCAATGTCCTTGCAAAGTCCAATAGAAAAAAGATACAATTATGAATGAGTTGTCTAAGAAAAGACCAATGTTTTCAATAACAAGTACTACAGTGCTGTGATAAATATTCAAAATACTACATACTTTTTGAACAATTATAATAAATATATAAATACTGTTGATATATCTAGACATTAGAACTATGTACCTTTCTATATTAAAGAAGTTATCAAGAAACTTACTTCTACACATTCCGTCATATCCTCCAACTTGATCGATGACCAAGAAACCAGAGCTACTACAGTCACCAATGATCTCAAACTTGAATGTTCCAGGAGGCACTTCACTCTTAAACCATTCATGCCAGTCATGACCTCCAGTTCTATTCACCAAGGTCATTGGGTATACATTGCCTTGTTCATCTCTGACATGTGCAATGACAATGAATTTGTCTCCTGGTGTGGCATTGAACATTCCAGCCTCAATGTTGACACAGGTGGTATGATTAAGTTGTTTCATGTACAACAACTTGGCCACACCCTGCAGAGCTGAGCAACTGATGTCTAACCGACCAGCTGAAACATAACAATAAGTACCATTACTGAAAAAAAAACTTTTTTGGGGTTTTATATTAAAGATTTTTTCCCCTTCAATCGCATTTATCATGTCATCAGTAAAATGACAATTGTGCAAATATAACTGGTAAATAAAAAGTAATTCAGTCAGTTAACAATGAAGATTCTTCTTCTACTCAAAACATGTACGTAAAGAAAGTAATTTAGGAGTTTTTGTCTAACCCTGTCTGCAACCCATAGTAGCTTTGAGAATAGCTATGAGTTATATATACTTTCATAAAACATGCAGCTCTAATGTAGCTTAATACATTAAAAATCTTCAAGGTTATCAATAAAGCAATAAATTACCTTGTGTGTCATTATTCCAGTCTCCATCATCATTTAGGTCTTGTTCCATTCCACACAATGGTTCTTCAAAGTCACGGAATCCACACATAGGGGGACCCATGTTATGATGACCTTGGAAGGCTACAAAATTTGTTAAAAATCAATGTTTATCACACATATAATCACATCTTCAAAGTATAACACAAATAACTATTTTTTCTGACTCTCTAATCATAGGTTTTATTAATATAATCTGATCAATTAAGTGTATTCAAATTGTTTCAAAAAGTAACCAAAACCAGGGTCCTATTCTATTGTGCAGGCAATATTTATGTAACAAACATTAAGACAAATAAGTATTTATCTATAAGGCCCCACTCTGCAAGAACTCTTACAGAGTGCAATCAATAGAATACAGAAAAACTGGTGATTATATGAGAACATTGGAAACAAGAGGAAATGTGTCATTCAGTTGAGCTGATTGCACTCAGTAAGAGTCCCTGCAGAGTTGGGTCAATCTACATAGACCAGTGGTGTCTATGGGATTGAGGTCTTTGCCTAGCTTTTGCTTTAATCACCACAACAAACCCCAACTTATTGAATGACAAATGACATATTTTGACATTATTAATTCTGTAACACCCATATTCTAAAGTTAATACCAGGAGCCAGTTATATACAAAAGAACTTTTATATATGATAATAATCAAACATAAGCCAAAACACTTATGGCCAACCTGGACATCAGAGCAATGTTAGTAGATGTTGTTACACACTGAACGCTAGGTGGTATAGTGGCCCTAGTGATTAGTGAGTAACAACATCTACTAACATCAGTCTGATGAAGACCTACATCCGGGTTGGCAGTAAGCTTATGGTAGGGCAGTATTCTGGCCTGTGTTTGATAATTATCATATATGATCCAACTCTCAAGCTAATGAACATTTTGCTCAAAAGAACTTTCAGTTTAAAATTATAATGACCTTCAGTTCGAGAAGAATCCAAAATAGCCCAGTAATGAATACAGACCATTTTGGGCTTAATCAATAAACATGTCTCATTTCTTTTTTTTCATAGTCATGGAAACCACACATAGGGGAACCCATGTTTCCATGACCTGAATTCCACTGGATTACTTACTGATTTATCTCCAGCCAAGAAAGACTTCAATGTTAGTCTAAATGTTAAGACCAATTTTTGGGCTCAAGTTCTTTTGAAAAGTTGGTCACAGATTTGGAACTTACCACCACACTGTCCATCATATCCTCCAACTTGACTGATGACCATGAAACCAGAGCTTTGACAATCACCAATGATCTCAAACTTAAATGTTCCAGGAGGTACTTCTCTGTCAAACCATTCATGCCAGTCATGGCCTCCAGTTCTATTCACCAAGGTCATCGGGTTTACATTGCCTTGTTCATCCCTGACATGTGCAATGACTAGGAAATGGTCTCCTGGCGTGGCATTGAACATTCCTGCTTCAATGATGGCGCAGGTGGTAACATTCAGTTGCTTCATGTACACTAACTTAGCCACACCTGGCTGAGCTGAACAGCTGATCTCCATCTGACCCGCTGAAAATGAGCAATATAAAATGTCACTTTTTCCTCTTGGTCATATCAGAAAATACTAAAAAAACACAATAACAGTAAAAATTCATATATACAAATATAACGTGCAAAACACCATTTTCAAATCCAGTTCATATGAAGGGACAATAGAAAGAATCATCAGTGCATCAGTCACATTCGTCCAGAAAGGTACAAGTATTTCACAGTAATTTTGATCTTTTAAGACTAA